TGGGAGAGGTAGGAGGAGCACCAGGAGAGAGCAATATCTTGTAGACCGATATTGCAGAGGATGATAAGAAGCTGTTGATGATCAACAGTGTCAAAAGCCGCAGACAGGTCAAGGAGAATTAGGATAGAGTAGTGACCACGAGATTTTGCAGCGAGTAGATCATTGGATACTTTGGTCAGTGCCGTTTCCACAGAGTGCTTAGCGCGGAAACCAGACTGAAGCGGGTCTAGCAGAGAGTTGGACTCGAGGAAGTCTGTCAATCTCGCATACACAATTTTTTCAAGGATCTTGGCTGCAAAAGGTAGTAGCGAGATAGGACAATAGTTGGATGGGGAGTTAGGGTCAAGATTGGGCTTCTTTAGAATTGGGGTTACAGTTGCATGTTTGAAGGGCAATGGAAATATACCAGAGGAGAGAGAGAGATTGAGAATTTTAGTGAGAGGTGGAGAAAGAGAAGAAGACAGAGTACAAATGAGATGCGAGGGAATTGGATCTAGGGAGCAGGTGGTGGGGCGGGAGGACTGGAGCAGAGCAGAAACCTCTTCCAATGTAGCGGGTGCGAAAGAACATAGAACAGCAGAGGGAGTGAAGTTAGGGGAAGTATTGTAAGGGGAAGAAGAAAGATGAGAGATCTCTTCTCTGATTGTGAGAGATCTTGTCAGTGAAGTGAGTTGCAAAGTCTGAGGTGGTCAAGTAGTAGGTGGCGGAGGAACTGCAGGGCAAAGAAGAGAGTTAAGTGTGTGAAATAGTCGTTTGGGTTCGCGGGAGAGTGTGGTTATGAGGGTATTAAAGTAATTAACGTTTGCAGAGGAAAGAGCCAAGCTGTATGAGCTCAGCATAAATTTATAGTGGAGAAAGTCAGACGCACAGTGAGACTTTCTTTAACAGCATTCAGCAGTTCTGGAGCATTTTTGGAGGTATCGAGTGAGCTTGGTGTGCCAGGGGTGTTGTTGGAGGGGCCTGCGGCGTTTAAATGTACAAGGTGCCATGATGTCTAGTTGAGAGGAGAGGGTGGAATTGTACATCAGTTAAACACAGATTTTGTATAAGGTAATAATTATTCATATTCCACTTTTTACTTAAATATGTGTTTGTACAGTATTTAATTTCTAAAATGATACATTGAAGTCCAAATCCCCAGACTGAGGTCCTCCATCTTGGCTAGCTGTCAATCATTGTATGAGCAATGATATACAGAAAGCAGAGGAATCCAAGCCCGTATTTATATTTATACATATCTTCCTGATTGCAATGTGAGCCCTGGCTGTGTTATTTCCAAAGACGTGACAGTCCCCCTTTAACCCTATCAATACCGCTAGTACCTTATTTTTGGGTGCTGCCTGTTTGAAGCCCACGGGATTCTTGTGAGGACAGCTGGCATGTCCCCTCATTCCACACTAGTGTTTAACGCTTTCAGATTTTCTCTCGTTACGCGGATATCACTGCATGGTCTCTGCTGGACACAGAACACTATTTGAATAAAGTGATTTGAACAGCTGAGTATCTGGCTGCGGTTTGAATTCAGCCATATTGGGATATCGGACCATTTAATGAATCAGATAATACGTTCTGTCAAATCATTCCATCAAGCTTTTCTCTCTGTCTGTCTTTCAATCTGTCCGTCTATCTATCTGTCCGTCTCTCTATCTGTCTTTCTATCTATCTCTCTGTATTTGTGGACCCGTGACATACTTGAAAATGAGAGAAATCTCAATGTATCTTTCCTGGTAAAGTATTTTATAAATAAATATCTTTCTGCCTGTCTGTCTGTCTGTCTATCTGTCTATCTATCTATCTATCTATCTGTCTGTCTAATGTATTGTATGTGTGAGGTGCGCAGTGTGTGTGTGTGAGGGTGTTTTTATCTGCCACTAGAGGGCACTTCCTGGTCCATAGCACAGGTTTTCTGTGCTATAGCGTCGCTGGACGTCCTCACACTGTGTGAGGACCTCCAGCGTTGCTAAAATCCCCATAGGAAAGCATTGAAAAGGTCTAATGCGGGGGATCAGTCTCCCCCGCCGGCTGACGTAATGAATGTGAAGGAGTGGTGGCGAAGGAAAAAGCAGCGACGTGGGACAAGTTTCACCCCTTCAGCAACCGGGGATGGGAGGTGGGAGGGAGAGGCGACCTGCAGTGCCAGGAAAACAGATTTTTTTTTCTGGCACTGGAGAGTCCCTTTAATGGCTGCTCTCTGATTGATTCTCCTAAACCCGACACATCTGAATGGAGCAACAGTCAACTCTGAAATGCTTCTGGTGGAGATCATAACACAATGTGTCTAGGAGTGCATAATGTATTGTGTTCCTTACACGAGAACCTTTCCCATCACTTTTTGTTTTTAATTACCTCGAAGAGCCTACTGTGACCCAATTCAGGGTGTATGCCTATGGGTGCTGTGTTGTCCCACACACAGACCCTGTGCAGTTTAACCCTCGTCACTCACGCAGCTTTTTGTAACAGAACTCACAACAAGGAGAAGATGGGATCCACTGTGTGTAACAGAACCCACAGCAAGGAGAAGAGGGGTTCAATGTTTGTAACAGAACCCACAGCAAGGAGAAGATGGGATCCACTGTGTGTAACAGAACGCACAGCAAGGAGAAGATGGGATCCACTGTGTGTAACAGAACCCACAGCAAGGAGAAGAGAGGTTTAATGTGAGTAACAGAACCCACAGCAAGGAGAAGAGAGGTTCAATGTTTCTAACAGAACCCACAGCAAGGAGAAGATGGGTGCAATGTGTGTAATTAGAACCCACAGTAGAACCCACAACAAGGAGAAGAGGGGTTCAATGTGTGTAATAGAACCCACAGCAAAGTGAAGAGGGGTTCAATGTGTGTAATGGAATCTACAGTAAGGAGAAGATATGTTTGATGTGTGTAACAAAACCCACAGCAAGGAGAAGAGGGCTTCAAATTTTGTAACAGAACCCACAGCAAGAAGAAGAGAGGTTCAATGTTTGTAACAGAACCCACAGCAAGGAGAAGATGGGATCCACTGTGTGTAATAGAACCCACAGCAAGGAGAAGATGGGATCCACTGTGTGTAATAGAACCCACAGCAAGGAGAAGATGGGATCCACTTTGTGTAATAGAACCCACAGCAAGAAGAAGAGAGGTTCAATGGAATCTACAGTAAGGAGAATATATGTTTGATGTGTGTAATAGAACCCACAGTAAGGAGAAGAGAGGTTCAATGTGTGTAATTAAACCCACAATAAGGAGAAGGGAGGTTCAATGTGTGTAATAGAACCCACAGCAAGGAGAAGGGAGGTTCAATGTGTGTAATTAAACCCACAATAAGGAGAAGAGGGGTTCAATGTTTGTAACAGAACCCACAGCAAGAAGAAGAGAGGTTCAATGTGTATAATGGAATCTACAGTAAGGAGAATATATTGGAAAAAGAGAATTGGAAAAAGAGCATCATGTGACGTGGAAGTACTTCTTATCCCGTGTCACGTGACCGTTTTCTTTATTTTTTAATTTTTTTATTTAAAAAGTCAATTATAACCTTCGTTTTAATATTTAAATAATGCAAATATGCTTTTTATCATTGTATTCTTAATTTTTATGTGTGCAATAACTGTTTTATAATAACTTCCCTGTATTATCTATATGCCAGTTTTATGACGTCATTTTGGTACTATTACACACTATATAAGCTTATGTATGTCAGGTATGCCCCCCCTCTTTCCCACTATCTACTTGAAGAAGCCTGTTAAGGCGAAACGCGTTTAGATACTAATAGATTTTGTTCTTAATTTTATAATAAAGATATTTTATTGGCATAAAATACTTTATTGCCATTTGCTTTCTCCTTTACCTGATTTTACATACATTTTCTTTTATTGATTTTACGTATACGGCTCACCCTGCAGGAAGTGCAAAGAATCCATAGGTGGGGATTATACCACCCGAGCGCCTTCACTGAGCAGTTTTGAGTCTGCTCTACTTTACGTGAGTAGTATACTTTACTTTCTTTTAATTTTGGATTACATACAGTGAGCACTATATATTTTATTTCATTTTTTCCTCTGGGTCGTATTACGTCAAATTGAACACTGAACCCACGTCAGATATTCAACTATCAAAATTTACTCCATATATCCTTGAAGTGGGGATTATTCCACTTTACGCGAGCAATATCAGAGCTGATCCTAGCTCTGAAAAGTGTGAGTAAGACTGATTTTATACCTTTATATTTATTTTTTACACCGATTTACTGTGCCATTGGAGTCCTGTTTTTATTTTTCTCTCCACATATGCTGAATTCTCAACATTTGAAGATACGATCCCACCTACACCCTAAAGAATATTCCTTTACAAGTGGGACCTACCCTCACAGACTGTGATAAGCCTATTTTATTGGACTATTGTTTTATTACTTATTTTATTCTGTATTTTATCTGACTAATTTAGTCTTTTATTTTATCAAGTTTTAGGCGCATCCTTATATCTCTGTTTGTTAAGGAGAATATATGTTTTATGTGTGTAATAGAACCCACAGTAAGGAGAAGGGAGGTTCAATGTGTGTAGTAGAACCCACAGCAGAACCCACAGCAAGGAGAAGATGGATTCAGGGCCGGTGCAAGGATTTTTGCCGCCCTAGGCAAAAGTAAAGTTTGCCGCCCCCCCCCCATGTGACATCACAATGCCCCACCCATATGATTTGCCATGTTAACTAACGCCAGTGCTGCAGTGCCGCTGTGTTTACAGTAAAAGGCCTGCAGGGACAGGCTATAGACACCAGAACCACTACATTAAGCTGCAGTTGTTCTGGGGACTATAGTGTTTCTTTAATGTGAGGTAAATTAGAGCTTAGTGCCACGAATAATATACTAGATTGCCTACTTACAACCAGATGAGGATGATGATGGGCTCTAGCTGCAGTCTGGCTGCACTGGTCTGGTGTACAACAGGCTCTATGGAGGCGGTTTGTAACTGTGGTCACAAAAATCAATGTTCTGGGAGAACGGTAAACAGCTCAATTTTTTGGGGGCCCTTTACACAGCTCAAGGTCTGGGTCCTAGGGTCCACCTTCATGTTCCACCAATGAGTTTGTTCACAGGGGGTGGAATGTGTAGGGGATGTCCTGATATGTGTGTAAGGAATGCATTGTGTGAATCTGTGTTTGTATGTGTAAGGGCTGCAAGGTGTGTTTCTGTGTATGTACAGGATGCAGTGTGTGCGTGTGTAAGGGGTGCATTGAGTGTGTGTAAGGAATGCATTGTGTGTTTATGTGTGTGTAAGGGGTGCATTGTGTGTAAGGGTTGCATTGTTTGTGTGTGTGTGTGTGTGTGTCATTGTGTGTAGTGCATTGTGTGTTTTTCTGTGTGTAAGGGGTGCATTGCATGTGTTTGTGATGGATGTCAATCTCTCCCCCCTCCCTTGTCACTCTCTTCTCCCCCCTCTCCCTCCCTTGTCACTCTCTTTTCCCACCTCTCCCTTGTCACTCTCTTCTCCCCTCCCCCTTCCCACTCTCATTGCCCCTCCCTCCCCTGTCACTCTCACCCCCATCAATTTCTTCTCCCCCCACCAATTTCTTATTCTCCCCCCTCCCCTACCAATTTCTTCTTCTCCCCCCTCCCCACCCTCCCCTACCAATTTCTTTTTCTCCCACCCTCCCCATTTCTTCTCCCCCCTCCCCTACCAATTTCTTTTTCTCCCACCCTCC